GGCCCCACCCTGGGTCCAGCTCCACCCCTAACGGTGAGCTATGAGAGCCCCTCCGGCCAGCGTTGGAAGTAGCCAGAAACCAGGTCCCAGAACAGTGACAGAAGGAGCAAGGTTCACTCAACCAGGGTGGAGGAGACGTGGAGGAGACGCAGCCGGGGCTGGGCACGCCGAAGCCCCATGCTCAAGCACGCAAGATGCTGAGGGAGAGAAGCCCTGACCTTGTGTTGCATTCTAGATCACCCCACAAACCAAGAGTAGCAGTGGACACCCCAAGCAACGCCAGCACATGACTTATGATGGAGGACTTGGCTCACTAAGATGCACGAGGCCCCGTGATGGGCTGCCGCGGAAATGGGCCACAGAGCCAACTCCTCCACCAGAGTCACGGGGCACCCCCAGATGTGGATTTGGGGGACCATTCAGCCAGCCCATGATGGTGCAGCTGGAGAGACCAACTGCCCACGGCTACCGTGAAAGTGGGTTTCAGGAGCCAGCGTGCCTGGACTACAGGGTCCCCAGACATACGGCCCACAAGGCCGGGTGTTCGGAATGAGGTGAGCATCTAGTGCAGCTGGCTTGGGGAACAGTGCCCTCCTTCATGGGAGTGGCCCTCATCCAACCAGTTGAAGGCCAGCATGGAACCAAAAGGCCTCCTCGGGATGCAAGCCCGCCCTGCAGGCCTGGAGTGCCCAGGCCCACGGCTCCCGCCTCCTGATGACGCGGACATTTGTCTCTATGTCTGTTACGCTGCCCGTCCGTTGTTCCTCTGGGAAATCCCGGCTCCCATAAGTGACACCGGTGACACATTTCTTGGCCTCTTCCATGTGAGGGAAACTCGGGTGACCCCAGAGGAACTGACCCCACACCAGCGTGGCGGGGGTCCTGGGGAAGTGGGGGATGGTGAGAGCCCCCAGAATCTGCTCAGCGGCTGTGTCCTGATCCACACACTTGCGTGCACAAGTTCCAGAAGTGAGTCGCCCAGCTCGGCTGGCCTCGAACTCCCGCAGCAGAAGAGACCACGCCAGGAATGTGCTGGCCACCACAGCTCAGTCTCCAGGAACACAGAGTTTATCCCCCGCCCGGGGGTGGGGCCGGGCCTCCACATCCTTGCCCCACGTCACTCGGGAGGGATGTCCCCCACATGGATGGGACACGGAAGGAGATGTCAGCCCGAGTCAGGGGACCTCTGCACACCGCACCCCTAACCAGGAGAGGCCCCGCCTCCACCCTCCACCCCGCCGGCTCCAGCCCGTGCCTCTGGCTGGAGCCTGCTGGAAGGGGCTGCGTGGGGCTCAGCCATGGCCCCTGTGGCCCACAGCCCACGCCAGAGGCAAACAGAGGTGAAAGGCCCCAAAGTACAGGGCACCTCTCTCTGTCTCTCTGTCTCTGCCTCTCTGTGTCTCCTCTCTCGAGTTTGAGGGAGTCTGGGCAATCAGGGGCTCCACACCTCAAGGTGACCAAAGTAGCAGTGTCCCTTCAATGTTGTTCCTTGGGGCCCATCCTCTAGGGGAGGGGGGAAGTGGTCTTTCCACTCCATGCTGCTCTCCTCCCCCTCCCCCTCCCTTCTCCCTCCCCTCCCCCCTCCCCTCCTCCTCCCTCCCCCTCCACCTTTTTCTCCTCCCCTCCCCCTAGCCCCCTCCTCACCATGGACAACATGCAGCCCCCCCCTCCCTCCCCGTGGCCACTCCCAGCATGCGTCCATGAACAGGGGTCCTGGAGGACCTGAGCCCAGCCCTTCTGCTCTTGTAACTGCTGGGGCCCAGCCCCCCCCCCACCGGTGGCCCACCCCCCCACCAGTCAGTCATTGCTCCAGGATCCAGTCCCCAGCAGACCCAGACACAAGGCCACCTGCCGAAGCCTCCGGTAGCTCCCTCCTGCCTGGCTCGAAAACCCAACTCCTAGGAGGACTCAAAGCCCGAGCAGTGTGACCCAGCAGGACTTGCCACGGTCCGTCCTGCCCTTCCTCTGTGCACCCAGCATCCCACCAGAGCCTCCCAAACCCCGGGAGGCTTGGCGCCCCCCCTCCGCTGGGCCGGGGTGACCTCCACCCTTACCCGTGCCCCCCCCGCCCCCCACAGCCCGCCAGCACCCAGCAAGGGTCCGGGCAGCACAGCTGGCTTAAAAAGGAAATGCAGCCGCACCACGCTCCTTTATTTTTAGAACCAGTGACTCATTCTACCCCAGCCCAGGGCTGCTGGAGGCCAGGCAAGGGGAGGCCCTCTCCGGCGCAGGGGGCCGGGGCCGGGGCTGCTCTCCTCGCACTCAGGGGCCCAGGAGGGCCGGGTGCGAGGCAGCCTCTTCCCACCCCAGCACCTCAACAGCGCGCTTGGTGGGAGCACCTTGTATTTCAGGGGACCCCGTCCTAGCTCACCACAGCCCCCCACTGCTCCATCCTGTTGTGCCCTGCTGGGCCCGTCCCGGCTTCTTTTCTTGGCACTTGCCTCTAGGGGTCTTATTCCCCTATGTTGCTCCTAAAAATTAGGTCCTTCAAGCCGGGTACCGGTGGCTCGTGCCTGTCACCCTAGCGATCGTGGTTCAAAGCCAGCCCGGGCAGGAAAGTCGTGAGACTCTTATCTCCAATTAACTGCCAAGAAGCCAGAAACGGTGTTGTGGCTCAAAGAAGCAGAACACTAGCCTTGAGCACAAAAGCTCAGGGACAGTGCCCAAGCCATGAGTTCAAGCCCCAGGACTGGCAGAAAAACAACAAAAACCCTTGCCGTTTGCTCTCCAGTAGTTTGTTTAGATTGGCGGCTCTTTTGGAGTTATTTTGTTTCGTTTCTGTTCTCCGCAGTAATGGGATTTGAATTCAGGGTTCATATTTGTTAGGTAGGTGCTTTTCTGCTGAGCCATGCCTCCAGCCCTCTTTCCGCTGTTTTTAATTTTTCTTTTCTTTCTTTCTTTTTTTTTTTTTTTTTTTGCCAGTCGTGGAGCTTGAACCCTAGGCCTGGGCACTGTCCTTCAGCTCTTTAGCTCAAGGCTAGTGCTCTACCACTTGAGCCACAGCACTACTTCCAGGTTTTTCTGCTTATGTGGTGCTGAGGAATTGAACTTAGGACCTCATGCATGCAAGGCTAGCACTCTAGCACTGAGCCACCTTCCCAGCCCCTTCTTTCTTTGTCTTGTGCAGTATTGAGTCTTGAATGTCTAGCGTCATATTCACAGTTGGTGCTCTACCCCCTGAGCCACAGCTCTACTTCTGGCTTTTTGCTGGCTCATTAGAGATAAAGAGTCTCACAGACTTTCTTACCCTGGCTGGTTTTGAAACTTGATCCTCAGATCTCAGCTTCCTGAGTAGCTAGGATTATAGGCGTGAGTAACTGATTCCCAACTGATTTTTTTGGGGGGGAGAGGAAGGGGAGGCCTGTCGGTCATGGGGCTTGAACTTGGATCTGGGAGCTGTCCCTCAGCTCTTCAGCTCAAGGTAAGTGCTCTATCTCTTGAGCCACAGCGCCACTTCTGGTTTTCTGAGCGGTTAATTGGAGATGAGGGTCTCATGGTCACATGTGGCTTTGAACCACAATCCTCAGAGCTCAACCTCCTGAGTCACTAGGATGACAGGCGTGAGCCACCAGCGCCCAGCTGAGAAGCTCCTTTTTGCGTGCCTTTAATACTCCACTCTCTGATTACCTTAGGTAGCAACCCACCCACTGTTTTAAAAAATATTGACTACACATTTTAAAACATTTTAATTGAAACTTTTAAATTTTCTAATAGCTGCACGAAGCCCACTAGAAGAACCAGGTGAGCTGAGCATGGTGGTACACATTTCTAAGCCCAGCTATGTGGCAGGGAGATCACAGCCCTGGGCGGGTGCTTAGCAAGAGCCAGGCCCTGAGTTCAAACCCCGGTACCATCAAAGAAGCAAAAACGCAAGACAGAGGTAGGTAAAGGTGAGTTTACTGTTTTGTGTATTTCTGCTGGAAGCCACCGTGCCCCAATCGGTGGGGGGGGAAGGAGGTGGGGGAGGGAGGCGGGGGGGCGGGAGGGGGGTGCTCCCCACCCCCAGCCTCCGGCGGCCATGCGGGGCTCGTACTCTGGACACACTGTGGGCCAGGGCTGCGGTCTCTCCCCGCCGCGTCTCCTGAGGCTGCGTTTCCTGGGGTTCCTCGTGTCCCTGGCCTCCTGCTGAGGACCTGCGGGTGCCAGCGGCGTCCACCGGCTCAGCACCACCGGAGGTGCCACAGCCCGGCGGCTTCCAGCACACAGCCTCTGTCCCACGTTCCCAGCTGGACGCCCAGGCTGGAGGCAGGCAGGGCGGGGCTGGCCCCAGGGCTGTGGCCTGGAGGGACACCCGTGCATGCATGTGTGTTCTCTGACAGGGCCGGCGGCCCACGCAGCCTCGTTCTCCAGGTCCTGCTTGTTCCGAGGCCCTGGGGCGCAGGGCTCCGCTGTGAATCTGGGGCTCACAGTGCACCCTGAAACACGCCCTATGTATGGAGCTGGCTCCCAGCCCCGCCTGCCGCCCCCCCCCCCCCTCCAGCCAGCACCGACACGGCCCTGGGCTTTTGGAGGGTCTGGGAAGGGTCTGGGGGTTCTCTGCAGGACTGGGGTTCGAACCCTGCCTCTCTCATCCATAAGCGGGTGCTCCCCCACCCAAGCCACGCCCCAGCCTGGCTGGGACGTTTTTCGGAGGGGTCTCACGGACACCAGCGGGCACCCCAAGGCCCAACCCCCCCATCTCTGGCACCTGGGTGAGGCCACTCAGGGCCGCCTGGCACACCTGCTGCTCCTGACAAGGACACCAGCACCCAAGGGCGCCACCAAGGACACCGCGGCGGGCTGGCTCTGGCCTGTGATGGGGTTCCCACCGCCCCCCCCCAGCTCACCCAGGCCTCTTCCTGCAGAGAAAGTCCCCAGGCACGACAGAGCCCAGGAAAGGGCCAGAGCCTGGGCCTCCTGGGAGCCTGGGAGCCGCCCCCCCCCAAGGGACAGCCTGGGGAATCCGGGCCCCCAAGCCCAGCCCCCCTCCGGTCTCGGCTCACAGAGGCTCGGGTGCTGCTACAGTTCAGGGGGCCAGTGGAGCCAGCACAAGGATGCTGGGGGTGCAGAGGACACCCCGGCTGGGCCCTCGGGGTCCAGGTGCGGCCAGGGTGCTCATTGTGACACCCACCACAGGACAGCAGCAGTCTCCTGCCACCCAAGAGGCCGCGCCGGGCACCAAGGCCTCCGGGAGGCCCGGTCCTCCTAGTCCTCCTTCTCCTCCTTGTGCGGGCGAGGCTGTGGCCGCGCCAGCCTTCGGTCGATGAGGGTGCCCAGGCAGGACCACAGCAGGAAGCGCACCAGCAGGATGACTACCAGCAGCACCATGAGGGGGTCGGGGCCTGAGCTGCCCCCCAGCCACGCGGCCATGCCCCCGCCCCAGCAGATGTGCCCAGAAGGCCCCGGCCTCTGCGTCCCAGCCTCCCCAGCTGGAGGCCCAGGGAGCCGCTCACCCAGAGCTGGGCGCGCTCTGGACTGACCACAATGCCAGCTTTGTGCAGGGGCCCGGGGGGGTGGGGGCCTTGGGGAGCCCAGCTTGCCGGCACTGACGTCACCGCCGCCCCCGGCCGTGGCAGCTGCCCGGCTCCCCAGTGCCGCCCGGCACAATCGGCTCTTTCTGTCCCCAATTAGCCGGTGCTTCAGGAGGCTGCACGGTTCCCGTCCCGGTGCTCACTGGGCCCAGCGGGGGACCCTGTGGGGACCCCAAGGGAGGGGGAGCTGAGCAGATGAAAGACAGCGGAGGGGACAGAAACCAGGGCCAGTCAGCAGAGCCGCAGGCCACCCAGGAGCGTGCTGCACCACAGCCCAGGGGCCAGGGGCTGGGGTGGGAGAGCCACAGCCACTCAGCCCCTAGAAGGCACAGGCAGGCCACCGGGGCCCAGACAGAGCCACGACCCTTCACGGGTGGGACATGGCTGCTGGGGCCCCCTCCATCCTCTCCTAGCCTCTACTGTCCCCTCCTGTCCCCCCCCACATTGCCTCCCGTCCCCTCCCGGCCTCTGCCCCTCCTCTGTCCTCCCCATTGCCTCCTGGCCCCTCCTGGCCCCCCATTCCCCTAGCCCCTCAGCCCCTCCTGTGCCCCGTTTCCTGGTGTTCCCTCCCGTCCCCTTCTGTCCCCTCCTGTCCCCCTCTAGTCCCCTCCCATCCCCCTCCTGTCCCCCCCCGTCCCCCCCACCCCTCCCATCCCCCAGGCCCTGAACCTGGCTCACCTCCACCCAGCAGCCAGCTCAGCGTCCGCGGCCTCAGTTCCTCTCGACAGTGTGGGGAGTCCTTGCTGTGGAGGATGATGGGAGACTGTCACCCCCGCTCCCCTGCACCCCACTATCACCCCCCAAAGCAGACCCCGCAGGACGCGCCTCTGCCTTTTCTGGCTTTGCTTGTGCATTTGTGCACACAACACCACTGCACACACACCAAGGGGCGGCTGGGCCCTCCCAGACAGGTGGCCCGGGTCCCACAGAGCGGGGTCCCCTGGGTCCCACAGAGCGGGGTCTCCGGGTCCCACAGAGCGGGTGCCCCGGGTCCCACAGAGCGGGGTCCCCTGGGTCCCACAGAGCGGGTGTCCCGGGCCCTCAGGGGCCTCGCCCAGAGCCACAGCCAGGCCAGGTTCAGTGCATCACGCCTCACCCACCGGCATCTGGGCCTGTTCCTCAGCTAGTTATGCTTGCGTCCGCTCCAGCATTTCTAGAAGGTTCCAGGTAAAGAAGGTCACAAAGGACTGACACCAGGACATGAGTGGCCGTGGCTGTGGTGGATTTCATAACCCAGCTGAGCAAGGCAAGGCTGAGGCTCAGGCACCGGCTGTCCACCCACATCCACCTGCAGGCCCTCCACCTGAGCCTGTCCACCCACGTCCACCTGCAGGCCCTCCACCTGGGCCTGTCCACCCACGTCCACCTGCAGGCCCTCCACCTGAGCCTGGATGCCCACGTCCACCTGCAGGCCCTCCACCTGGGCCTGTCCACCCATGTCCACCTGCAGGCCCTCCACCTGGGCCTGTCCACCCACGTCCACCGGCAGGCCCTCCACCTGGACCTGTCCACCCACGTCCACCTGCAGGCCCTCCACCTGGACCTGTCCACCCACGTCCACCTGCAGGCCCTCCACCTGGGCCTGTCCACCCACGTCCACCCTGCAGGCCTCCACCTGGGCCTGTCCACCCACGTCCACCCTGCAGGTCCTCCACCTGAAACATAAGAGAGAATTCAGATTCCAAGAACCCACCCCAGCCAGACATCAGACAGAATGTTCCCTTCGTAAAGGAAGCTTCCAGAAGGTGCAGGAAGTCTCCCAACTTCCTGGATCGCTCCTCAACGCAGGGTGGGGTCCCTGGGAGGGGCAGCCGTGCACCGTGGGAGGAGCCGCTCAGCGGGCGATGGGAGGCTCACTGAGAGGCCTGCCCAGGCGGGGGCCCGGCTGCCTGCAGGCACAGCCCACACCCCTGGTGTTTGCCAGGCCTGTAAAGAGATATTTAAAGTCAATAAGCACCCGGTCATGTGGCGTCGGAGCCCAGGAGACTCAGTGGAGGAGCGCCGTCCTGGCACCGGGCAGTCAGCAAGCACAAGGTCGGCCCACCCTTGTCCGGAGACGGAGCGCGGCCGGGGCCCCAAGCCGGGCCCCAGGGCCTGGGGTGCGGGGGGGAGCTCTGGTTAGGGTCACATGGTGGAGTGCTGCAGGCCCTGAGCGGGGCTTCGGACGAGGGGAAACGCCGTGGCGGGCACAGACGTGGGGCGGGGCAGGTGTTGTTGCCATGAGAACCTGATCTCCCTCACTAGAGCAGCCCAGCTCCCAGGACCCGCCGCCATCCTGGCCACCCCCAAGCTGCCTGCCACCCAGCTGTCACCAAGGAGCGGGGCCCAGCATGGGGATGGTGGGCCTGGGCACCTTGGGGGGGAGGGCCAGGTGCCCAGTGCTAGCCGGGGTCCTGCCAACCTCCCCCACCCAGCAGCTGGCCTGGCCCGCCCGGCGCCCGGTACATCCCAGCAGAGCCTTCTCCCAAGATGGCAAAACTACCAGATGGCTCGCTGAGCAGACCGGCCCTTTTTGCTCTGGTTGTTGGAGATAGAGCCTTGATTTCTTCTTGCCCACGCTGTTTAAATGACAATCTGTTCACACTTTGCACTGTGGCTTGGATGACAGCGACACACCGCCACACCCAGCTCTTTCTGTGCAGACGGGGGTCTCAAACACCTTTTGCCCAGGCTAGCCTTGAACCTCCATCCTCTCCATCTCCAAGTAGCTGGGGTGACAAGCATGAGCCACTGTCCTAGACCCTTTTTCTTCTTGTTCCTGCAGTGAACATATATGGACTACAGAAGAGTAGATGTCCTGACTCTTGCTGAGATGGGCAGGTGAGACAGTGCAGACACCCCAAGCCTCTGGGGGTGGTGGGCCAGGTAGGGGCCCTGAGGATCCGACATCTCCAAACCCAGGCCGGCCACCAGTATTCCCAACCCTTGGGAGGCTACCACAGGAGGATGGAGTTTGAAGGCCCATGCGAACGAGGGAGTCCCTGTCTGGAAATCCACAAAACCAGGTTTACCCGGAGATGGCCCTGACTTCCGGGCAGAAACTAATTTTCTTTCTCTCCACGCCATAAAGGCAGATTTACATGGCCAGCAGCCACCAGTGGAGAGTGGAGGGGGGTCCCAGCGGAGGGGGCCCACGTGGGCAGCGTGCAGCCCCCCGCCCTGCCCCGCCCCACCAGGACCCACAGGCCCTGAGAGCTGCTATGTAACTTTGCTCCCGGATCAAACAGCCACTGGTGACCGGAATGAAATTCCAAGGCAGCCAGCCGGGTCGGGTGGCGGGATTAGAGCTCACCAAGAACGCAGAGGGCATTCGGGCTACCTGGCCAGAATGCTTCACAACCTCCCTGCCCTCCCTCCCTGGGGGGCCCTGGGTGGCAGGAGAAAGAGAGCCCCTGGGGATCCCCGAACTGGGGCGCCGGCCGGCCTTTCCCAAGTGCCAGGTTTTAGGGAACCTCAGCAGACGTTTCCCCCCAGGGCCGGGATGCGTGCGGCTCCCTCATACCCGAACTGGCACCCCAGGCGGAGGACACACGTTGTGCCTTTACCCTTTGGGGCTCAGGGGGCTTTGGGGAGCCCACCTGCCCCTGGCCACCTGAAAGGTGTGGGCAGGAAAGGGTGGCCGGCCCCCAGAACGCCGGGCCGGGTCTGCACAGCCTGAGTGAGAATCCATTCATGTCCTTGCCCTGAAATAATGCGGGTTTATCAATGAGCCCAGACGCCTTTCACGCCACAGCATGCTCTGAAAGCGTTCAAGGGCGGAGGTTTGTGTGCTCTGGGGGAGCCTCTGAAGGCTGGGGCTCCCCTCCGCCCCGGCCTCCATGGCTGCTGGCTGGCTGCTCTGCCCAAAGGCCTGAGAGGGTGGGGCCCTCCCCTTGTCCCCGGAGAGGCGGGAGGGGGGCGGAGGAGGTGGCAGGACCTCCCTGTGACCCTGAGGGTTTAAGAGATAAAGTCCAGGAGTAGAGGGGCTCAGCTGGGTGCTCTCAACACCGCCGGCACCCTCCAGAGACCCCCACATAAGGATTCCCCCAGAATGTTTAGCCTGATGACAATGGCGTTACATTTCTTAGGGAAAAAAAAGGAGGGAGGGGGGAGGGAAGGAAAGAGGAAGGAAGTTTTTGATATGGTGAGAGGGAAGAAGGATGGAGGGAAGGAGGGAGGAAAGGAGGGAGGAAAGGAGAGAGGGAAGGATGGAGGGAAGGAAGGAGGGAAGGAGGGAGGGAGGGAGGGAGGGCTTCTCAGTGGCTCCCAGGCCAGCAGTCATCCAGTTCTGCACACGAAGGCCAGCAGGAGCAAGGCTGGAGCGGCTGGAGCGCACGTGGTCTCGAGGACGCACGAAGGGCTGGAGTGCTCTGAGAGCAGGACGTGTGTCTGCAGCCACGGCCCAGCGAAGCCCGGCCCCACGGCCATGCCTGCCACAGGGGGAGGCTCTGGCCGGCCACCTGGCGGCCCAGCCCTGCCTCCTAGGCACCGCGTCCAGCTCCGCAGGCGCCGCCTTTATCCCCAGCTGGTGCCGACCCCACTCGACACCTTGCCAGGGCGGGGACACGGGGACGCAGGGACACGCGGAGAGACGCGGGGACGCGGGGAGAGACGCGGGGACGCGGGGAGAGACGCGGGGACGCGGGGACGCGGGGAGAGACGCGGGGACGCGGGGACGCGGGGGGACGCGGGGGGACGCGGGGGGACGCGGGGACGCGGGGACGCGGGGGGGACGCGGGGACGCGCGGGGACGCGGGGGGACGCGGGGGGACGCGGGGACGCGGGGGGACGCGGGGGGACGCGGGGAGGCGGGGGGACGCGGGGAGGCGGGGGGGACGCGGGGGGACGCGGGGAGGCGGGGGGACGAGGGGACGCGGGGGACGCGGGGGGACGCGGGGACGCGGGGACGCGGGGGGACGCGGGGACGCGGGGGAACGCGGGGACGCGGGGGGACGCGGGGGGACGCGGGGAGGCGGGGGGGACGCGGGGAGGCGGGGGGACGCGGGGAGGCGGGGGGACGCGGGGGGACGCGGGGAGGCGGGGGGGACGCGGGGAGGCGGGGGGACGCGGGGACGCGGGGGGACGCGGGGACGCGGGGGGACGCGGGGCGACGCGGGGGGACGCGGGGACGCGGGGGGACGCGGGGACGCGGGGACGCGGGGGGACGCGGGGAGGCGGGGGGGACGCGGGGACGCGGGGGGACGCGGGGACGCGGGGGGACGCGGGGGGACGCGGGGAGGCGGGGGGACGCGGGGAGGCGGGGGGGACGCGGGGACGCGGGGGGACGCGGGGGGACGCGGGGAGGCGGGGGGACGCGGGGACGCGGGGGGACGCGGGGCGACGCGGGGGGACGCGGGGAGGCGGGGGGACGCGGGGCGACGCGGGGGGACGCGGGGACGCGGGGGGACGCGGGGACGCGGGGGGGACGCGGGGACGCGGGGGGACGCGGGGGGACGCGGGGAGGCGGGGGGACGCGGGGAGGCGGGGGGGACGCGGGGGGACGCGGGGAGGCGGGGGGACGCGGGGAGGCGGGGGGACGCGGGGGGACGCGGGGGGACGCGGGGCGACGCGGGGAGGCGGGGGGACGCGGGGAGGCGGGGGGACGCGGGGGGGACGCGGGGAGGCGGGGGGACGCGGGGGGACGCGGGGGGACGCGGGGAGGCGGGGGGACGCGGGGACGCGGGGGGACGCGGGGGGACGCGGGGACGCGGGGACGCGGGGGGACGCGGGGAGGCGGGGGGGACGCGGGGACGCGGGGGGACGCGGGGGACGCGGGGGGACGCGGGGACGCGGGGACGCGGGGGGACGCGGGGACGCGGGGGGACGCGGGGACGCGGGGACGCGGGGGGACGCGGGGACGCGGGGGGGACGCGGGGACGCGGGGACGCACGGGGACGCAGGGACGCACGGGGACGCGGGGACGCGGGGGGACGCGGGGACGCAGGGACGCACAGGGACGCGGGGGACGTGTGGGGACGTGGGGGGACGCGGGGACGCGGGGATGTGGGGGGACGCGGGGACGCGGGAGGACACGGAGCAGGACCGCAGCTTCTCGCAGCGGCCGGGAGGTGACCCTGGGCACAGGTGACCCTGGGCGCAGGGGTTGAGCTATGGATTGGACGTGAGCCGCTGGGCTGCTGCGCTGGCCCAAGCCGTTCCTGACC